TTTTATTGAAGGCACAGAATTTGATAAACTAAATACAAAGTACGTGAGAATAAATTATTGTATATTAATGACAACAGACAGTAGCAGCAAATGCTCATATTTTCATCACAAATTATAATAAAACAATTAATGTGAATGATGGAACTCATTTTGCATTCTTAAAATCTGATTAAATTGAGGTTCAAATTTTGAAACGCTAATCACAAGTAGCGACTTTAAATGTTCATGGGATAAATTTGTCCTGTATTTCGACTTGATGTACTTCACCTGGGGAAAAGTATATTCACACAGATATGTCGTCCTAAAAATGGAGATAAATGTACAAGCAAATTTCCTTAAATTTGGAAATTGCTCAGAGTTCAGAAATTTATAAAATTCGATCAAATTTCCTTCCTTGTATTTGTCTTTAATGTGATAATTTTCCTGAAGTTCAATAATTTCCATTTGGAATTTGACTTGGGACATCTGCAGCATCACAGTCAAACGGATTTTGAAACAATCTAGTTTCCTGAGCACTGGAATCCAAATCTGCAAGTCGCTTCCGAAATTGTTCTTTCAAATCTGAAGTGACTAAATTTGCAAACGAGGAAGGAAATTCTGCTTCACCCTTTTTATGCAACTCTGCACATCTTAACGTATGAACAAAGTTACAAATTTTCACTTGGCTTTCCAGAAGTATCAACTTTGCTCTGAATGCCTTGATAAGTGCAAGTAAAATTTTCACCCTGCAACTTTAAATTCAAATTGTTCATATGGTTCACCAGATCAGTAAACAATGGTAATTTTCAAAGCCACTCGGTCTCTGATAAAATTGGTGCGTGATGGTTTTTCTCGGTAAGATATACGTGTATATCAATTTCATTCCTGAGCTGATAGAAGCGCGAAAGAACCTTTCCACAGCTAAGTCATCGAACTGCAGCATAATATGTCGGGTCAATAAGCTCGGAATCACATTCCTCAAGTAAAGCCCGAAACTAGCGATGGTTAAGTGCATGACAGCGAATGAAATTACCGATAGAAATAACAGGTTTTAAAACAGAGCTCATATCAACGTGTTTTCCACAGAGTACTTGTTGGTGGATAACACAGCGAAGAAACATTGGCCGATCGAGGCCGAACAAGTACGAAGAAATACCGCGCAGTATACGGTCCAGAATTAGTAAAATTGTGAATGATATTTAATATTAACATAATATGGAATATCAATATATTTTAAACACAATCTTAATTAATAAATTTGAAATCTATGAACAAGTAATTTTTTACCAGTACTCATTGGAAAAGTAGTTCAATTGGCGCATTTCTGCACAATTCTTTCGCGGGCCGCATGTGGCCCGCGGGCCGTAGTTTGGAAACCCTTGTTCTAAACAATATGCCAGTGCCTTACCAAAGGACCGCCATGGTTCTGACAACTATTCGCCTTCGTCTTCCACATAGCCTACCGCTTCGTTTCAAAGTCATTTTACGACTGAGGGTTGGCCAGTCAGTTGTTCTTAATTTATAGCCCATTCAGACGCTCATGACCAGATCTTAGTCTTGAAGTAATCTTCACTGTTTGGTCTTTAATAGGAATCCTTTCTGATGACAAGACGGGTCTATCCCTTCTCATTTGTCACAGTCAATTACTTTATATATTTCGTCCTTCCTCCTGTAAACTACATGTCACATATATACTGCGCATGGTTTTATTGGCATTGACTTTGATCATTTCTGTATCTAATCCTCTTACCGAAAAATATATAGATGTTGTACATGACTCACTAAGGGGTTCTTCGCCTGTTCAATATGAGATGACACTCAACCGATCTAACTCTCTTGACATAAAATTTAATTTCTTTTGTTCCAGCGCTCACACTACGTCTCAGTCGCATCCAGACCTCGCTGCAGCGTTCTGAGAACATACCCTTCTTTGCTCTCAGTCGCATATACATAGGTGCCAGCAGCAGACACCTACATATACACTAGTATTTTTGAGTTCCTTCACACTCTACAGAAGAAAATCTCATACCTGACCTTTTAACCAGAAGCATGCCTATGGGGACTCGTTGAAGGGAACTTGTAAGCTTGGGAAGAAAGTCGTCTTCTGGGCTACTGAGAGCTACTGCTCTCTGCATTCACAAGCCATTCACGTGCTCTGAAGATGGAGGCGATACGTTCCTCCGAAACGTCAGCCAAAACCCAGAAGACGACTTTCTTCATAGTCATCGCCGTGAAAACCTCAAAAACTTACATTGTAGGCTTGGGCTTTGGGTCATGCTTTTATTAATGAACTTGTATGGTTGGCACCACTGAAGTGATGGGCAACACGGTGTTGAATGTTGACATTACTTGGGTCATCCCAACACGCTGTTCCATCTGTTCAGAGATCATCAACTTTATTGAAGAACACCATCTTCTGGGATATGACATTATGTAGTCTTGTAGAACTCCACTGCCATTCTAAAAGAACATACAACCTGACTGACTGATAATTATGCAGGGTAAACAACCTACAAGTGTGCTGTTGCTATCCTCTTTCTGGTCATATTTTGGCTTCATTTTTGACTCATCCAAAAGGGCAGTGAATGTCTACCAGACTGTACAGCATCACTCCACAGAGAATCTTGAGTCCATCATTCATTATTCTTATCATATGGATGCCAAGGAAAGAAATCCTGTGGATTATTTCCCTCCACGTCTCCCTCAAGTAACTGACGATGCTCCTTCCAACCCATGTGTTTCCTGCATTCACGTGTAACCATTCTTTTCATATGAATGTTAGTAGTGATAATTAATCACTTGGTCTCATTTACATAAGCCAGAGGGGCTGGAGGGGAACATAGAGAGGGTTACCTTGTGTTTTCACATGAAACACTAGAGGTATACAGTAGACTGCTCATAATTTCATGAATTTGTCTAGTCATACTCACATTTAATATCTAGACTTAATTTAGTCCACTTGTTGAATATGGATTACATGAAATGCAGACTGGACCTGGTCCAAGGCTAAGGTGCTGAACTTAGGTCATTGATCTGACAGTGACAGAACCACGGACCCAGACTAACAGATACCTCGATTGTTTCAAACACTCATTGTTCTGTAGTGTCCCTCTGCCAGACATCATCACCATAATTATTTTTCTTTGGTGCTACTGGAGTCACTTCATAATAACTCCACTCTCATCATTATGCAGCGTGGACATTCTAGCACTTATATTCCCCCTTGTATTTTTTGTCTTATAACAGTAATGTTCTTTTCTTTCCTTTTCTGAACAACTAGCCAACCAACGGACTAACTTGAAGGAGCAGTCCATTTTCCTTCTTGTGTATATGACTAGACAGTTTGAGATGCATTTGTGGTTTGTTGCAGGCAAACTACACAGACCCACAGACAAAACTGTACTATGCCGCCATGCCTGGAGAATTTTCTACAATCTGAAGTTTGCCCATGTAGATATTGCTGCTGGTTTGGCATTTTGCTGTCTGGATGTTCTGCCATAAAGTTGCCTTGCTACAGAGCAGTTCTACTGGAGCCAACGGGAACTGGCTGCAAACAGAATGTTCATCTGGTTCAATTTGTCTAGTTCCACATATTTATTCTAGTGAACAATTGTATAACTATATTCATGAGTCACCTCCATTTAATGCAAAGGTTGAGGATAAGCTGTGTCTCGACAAGAAGGCCGGCAGTGCACATGCTTTGCTTTTTACCATATTCATGATTGATGGAGCCCATTAACCAGTTTATGCTGATGATTTAAGAGGCACACTAACTGTAAAATTTGGACACCTTCATTTGATGTGCACAGGTGAACAGAAACGTATGACAAGTTTAATTTCTATAATTCTGTAAGACATCCTGCCACAGTGTGGCATATCATACAATTTTAGTTAAAGTGAACTTCATTCACTCATTAAAGCAAATTTTTATTCATGTGAACAATGAGTAAAAAATTTTACATCTCATCAAGAATGTTATGTAGTCTTTCATCATTAACTACAAGACTGAGAACTCGTTTAAGTATACATGACCTAATAAAAGTAATGAACTTCACGAATTTACAGCCACATTATATTCACACGCTGAGTGGTTTCTGTACTCTTCACATCTCTGACATCTCTTGTCTGCATATAGGAACAAGGGGTGGCAGTAAGTGTACCAGAAGAGTTTATGAGTGGGTTCTGTTAATGACGAACACATTGTAACATGCCTAATTATGCGTAAAATTTCAAAACATAAATAAAAAATACAATTTAACGAGCATAGGAATGTTATTTGACCATCGTCACTTCATTAGAAGTCATCATGATTGTTGGAAAAACAGTCCTTTTTGAGAGTGAGCAATACATAGCCTTCCTTGGAGGCTGGTTATTGATCAGGGAAATTAAATATTTCTAACCTATAAATTTCAATTTATCTTAGTAGTCTCAAGACGGTGGAGTGGTTTTAAACAGCAAGAGACTATGCTGCACACCCTGTCAAAACATGCAGTGAGATTTCTTTTAAACAGAAGGTGTCCAATATTATACTCATATATACTTTATTTATCATGTATAAAATGTATACAAAATGTAAAAGGTACAGTAAATAATCAATCAAGCACATGATTCNTGTGCTGAGTTTGTAATTTATAAGATATAACATTTCTGAAGGACTGCATTTATAACTAAGGCTGCACGAAGAAAATTGATCATGAGTGAAAAGCTGGATTTTACATGAAAATGCTTTACTCAAAATGTGGACCTGATGAATGTATATCTCCCTATACCTTCATAACAGATACCTGCTTACATATAGAAGAAATTTGGTTTTGTGACAGGTTAATCCTGCTTATTACAAGTACTTCACAGAATTAACCAGTGGACATCTACCCACTGAAGAATCCTTGTCACCTTCCTGACACGTTTTCTCTTCAGCACTGACCCCCGGTGTAGTGCCTGCCACTTCAGAAGAGCTAATAATGGAATACTAAGAGAAGTATATACATCCAAATTACTGAAAATTGCATTATTACATTACATTCTGTTAAATTCAGCCACTGGTATATTGTCTTGAGCATGTATACACAAGCACACAAGTGAAGAATTGAAAACTGCATGACTAACTGGTCCATTATTTTAGTAGAACTGACACTACAATAACTTTTTATGCACATGGGTGCTTACAACATGGCGGATTATCAAAAATGTACTTTTACAGTTTATTGATTTCTTGCATCTATGCAGTGAAAGCCATATTTCTTTTCTCTTGCACATGGCATTTTGCACCAATAAACTGATTTCTCTTTTAAATTTCAGTTTTTACAAACATCTTAACCCTTACTTAGATTCAACTCATAAAGGTCATGAATCACCTTGTAACCAAAAAAAAAAAAAATTCACAAACCACTTCGCTTCAGACATCAACCCTTGGCAATTCACTCTCCATATACATTAGCAGCAGCAGCAGGTATGGTAAAAAAAAGTTAATGAAAACAAAATAAGATAAACTTATGACAGTGAACAAAGTACAGCTGTATGCAATTACCCTTATGTATTTTACAGGAGGAAAACCAAAAACTTCAGTGTTACTCCCTCCATCAAGGTTGCTCTATACAGCAGAAGATTCGTAATACACACAGAACAATATCAGTTGATTTGCTGACCTTTCAGAAATAATCCTCAGCAAAACATATCATAATATTTAATAATTGGGCGGCTTTTCACTGGGCTTGATGCGGAACAAGAAGTCATACATCTGTATTGTCACTATAGTTCCAACTATTGGTTTGTGGTATATTTGCTTCAAGTCAAAACCCTTCTTCAGGTAAAGCTCTCGTGCAGCATCATGGCATTCAGAGGTCACAAGCTCCACTGCACAGTATCCCTTATCCTTGCAGAATCTCAGTGCTTCATCCACAAGCACAGATGCAATGCCTTTCCGCTGGTACTTCGGGCTTACTGCCATTCTCCTCAGCCATGCCGTATCAGTGGAGTGCTTGTTTCGTGTGATGGCTATTGTCCCCACAATTTTCTTCCCAAGATGTTGAGTTACCTCAATATTGTTATCCTTAAGTTCTCGTTCTGTCGTGACCGTATATTTGACTTGACTTGGTTCCCTTGTCATGAAATAGGGTTCATGAACTTCAGCAACCCAAAATCCTGTATACTCCGAGGACATGTACACACGTGGAATGTTGGAAACGTCTTGTGCCATTTCTATTGCTTTGAATGTATGCCCAAACCATATAAATAAGTACATTAGTATAATGACAGCTGGTACTGACCAAACACAAACACTAAATGGAACACCTAAGAAAATGAACATAAGAGCCGCCATAAGAACCATCGTTTGAAATGTGATTTCTCGGGTCAGTCCAGCAATGAACGCTGTATTCACAGTTGACATGGTTCCTTCTTTAATAATCTCACGACAGAATAATTCATCTCCGGGCCTGTAATATCGTATAATTACCAAATGATTCATTGGTGCTGAGACGAGCCGAACATTAACATAACCAACCAAATTCAAACAGAAACTACAGCCTTGCACAGGCCCATGCCCATGAAACTCTCATGTTATTGGTTGCCAGCTTGGCCGCCATGACACCTCGCTGAAACTCTCCTTCCATCTATATTCAGCTGATATTACTAAATTAAAAATTATCTCCAGGGCCGAGATCCCAATCGGTAAGAAAGTATGTTACCTTGGCAACTATTTTCAGTGTTCCCCCCCTTGGCTGCCTCAAAAGGCTTTTTTTCGCTACTAGCAATAAACACTTTTAGATCTCTTGTACTGCAGTTTCTCTTTCCTTCTGGCGTTCCCACTAATAACCTATATGCATTCCTCGCCTCCCCATTCGTGCTACATGCTCTAACCGCTCTCTGTAGGCGTCCTCTGAAGGGCCCTTTACGTTGGGCGTCACTTATCCTCTATTACCGTCCTTCTGGCCCCTTGGTTGCTGGTTGCATCTGCTCCTCTAGCCGTTCCCTCTCACCTGTTGGTACGCCGAGTTTGCAGGTTGCTGCTGCGTCCTTCTTATCCAGTTCTGATTCACTTTTTGTTGTTGTTGTGGATAATTGTTTGTGGGATATGGATTACCTTAATGCTGGGCGCCAGTAAGCTTACTGTAAAGGCTTACATTTCGGGAAAAAGGGGGAATGAACTGGAAACTACAGGTGATAGGTACCGCATTCTCACTAGAGTGATGAGATTCTGTCTCAGGGTGAATACAGGCCTCGCGTCAGCGGGAAAGATAAGAGTGTTGTAGCTAGGCACTACCACAGACTGTTTAATTAGCAGATCTTGCTATACACGTACATGTAACAGCATTTGTTGCACTCCCTTGAAATCACTCAAACGCTGGCGACCGGATCCCTGGCTAGGTATTTAGTGACTGCTTCTTTTAGCACAACACATAGAATTACACTTTCACTTAAACTTTTAACACAAAGTAAAATTCACATTAAATTTTGAAGAGTTATTCAGAGATTGTTCCTGCAAACACTTAAACATAAATTTGTTTTAACTTTGACTTTTTTTTTTAAACCAAACTGCCAGCGACGCTAGTTTTTCAGCTGTACCCTTGGAGGGTTGTTCAGAGACTCCTTTCGCAGACTGACCCCGCTTCGAAGCAAGAAATCTTCACGGCTTCAGCTCTGCCTCCAAGTTACTACCCTAATTTCTGCTGATTGGAACAATTCAAATTTAGGGAGTTAACCATAATTCTCACTGCTCCAATCACCTAGCTTTAATTTTGGACTTTGGACCTTAAAGTCCTAACGTCGTTTTTGACAGCTCCTTGAAAAATTATACCAGTAGTGTGGGTTGCTGGCCTTTCCACTTTTGACTGACGGGGTTCAAAACCTGTCAAGTGTAACTTTACCAAAGGATCCCNCCCGCTTCGAAGCAAGAAATCTTCACGGCTTCAGCTCTGCCTCCAAGTTACTACCCTAATTTCTGCTGATTGGAACAATTCAAATTTAGGGAGTTAACCATAATTCTCACTGCTCCAATCACCTAGCTTTAATTTTGGACTTTGGACCTTAAAGTCCTAACGTCGTTTTTGACAGCTCCTTGAAAAATTATACCAGTAGTGTGGGTTGCTGGCCTTTCCACTTTTGACTGACGGGGTTCAAAACCTGTCAAGTGTAACTTTACCAAAGGATCCCGCCGGTCAACTTTCGAAATGAATTTCCAAGAAAACTCTGCGGGGTGCTTCCTGCCTGGTCTTTGTAGCAGTGAAGCAGGCCCTATTCTTGAAACCAAGAATCGGGCTAAGTCACCCTTGAATGTTCCTTGCTACATCTTATGCTTAATTACTATAAAAGGAATACTGATTACAAATAAAGCTGGTGGTGTCAGTGGTACGGCGAGAATGCCCTGCCAACCGCATCCTCCTTGACTAGTGATATTGAACACAGTTCAAAGTATTCATTTCTCCACCAACCTATTTCCATTTCTGAACTGAAAAATTGATGAAATAGATGATGAAAAATTAAAAATAGATTTTATCAATTACAGTGGACGGAGGTTAAAAATCTTATATATGGTTATAAAAGTCCTGTTTTTACTCCACATGCGGATGATCAGGAGTCTTCTGTACGTATATGAAAAATCAAAAGACACATAGACTCAGCCAATAATAATATCAGGTCATGAAACTGTGTAAAACTGATCTTAAGGCATCTTCTTGGAGTTGGTGATAATAATTTGAACCCAAAATGAATATATAAGTCAATGCTGAACATTATCTGAAGTCTGAATTGTAATCCTGATGTGCTGCTAATCTTCACATAAGAAGGTACACAGACAGACTCCAGGTGTTCCCAAACTTACATTTTTCTTGATATCAGTAATGTATAAATGTAAGTTGATATCCTCAGTGACATATATTCCAGCCACCTAATTATTTAAGACAGTTTCAGTATGTTTTAGTCTTTGTTAATAGAAATTAAATTGAAATCACATTATTACAAAAGTTTTTACATTTGTGTATTTCTTCATGAAATAGGGATTATGGTGTAGTGTTTTTACTGCATAATTACTGGCAGGACAGCCAGTGTTTTTCTTGACATGGCATCAAGGACGCCTGAAAGGTTCCTTTGGAACATACACGTATTGTTTATTTATATGTAGTTTATATAAGGTAGTGCTAGCAATTCAGATTATGCAACATTCAGTAACTGGATGATAGTGACTAGTAAACTGGAAAGAACGTGGAAGGAAATGCGTATGGTCTAGTTTGAAGCCTAGCATTTTCCTCAAGGGGAAAAAATAAAATTCATCTGAGATTTATGTAAAGTATAAGTTATATTTATCCAGTAAGGACTGAAATCATATTTGCCTGGTAACTCTCAGTGCAGATCCCTGTACAAAATTTTGCTGACATTTGCTGAATAGTTTTAGGGATTGCCAAAGTCAATGAATAGCTTCCATATTATGTACTTGTGTACTGCAAAGAACAGAAGTAACACATAAAAATCTACACATATAAGTTAAAAAGAAAAGACTTATCCTGTAAAACACTGGTACCACAAGGGTTGTCAGATGAAGAGCCAGTACACTTTATGCTAGGAAAACTGCAACTAAAATATATCATTAGCTGTCTTCTTACACACTTTCATATGAATATGTTTCTACTTTATTGGCAGCACTTCATCTGGTATTTAGAGTTTGATGGTTCATCACTTTTGACTGCTGTTGTGATTGGATGAATTTAAAGCTCAAGTTAATATCCAGTACATGTACAGAAGAATAACATTTATTAGAAGGAAGGAAAATATAAAATGTTGCACAAAAGATATTGGGATTATGGAGATTGTAATAGCAAGTTAATAGAGAGTGGTACTGACAATATATCACTTTTTCTTCAGTAACACAATTAAAATTGGAAGTACACTCCATTTAACTTTAATCTGAAATTTCACAGTTGCAAATATTTATGTTGTATCAGAATTGAAATGGTTCAATTTATAACACAGGGCAACAAAATAAAAATGAATGATTCTGAAATTTTAATATTTGAAACTGTGAAATATTAAATATTTATATGTTTGCTTCAAGTATGTATGTAATTCAAGTTAGTGATAAAAATCACATCCAGGATTTAAATTATAATAAGCAACTGATGACACTATGTCATGACAACATTCTAAACAAATGCACTTTGGATAGTCATATGTTATATCCAGCAATTCCATTTTTTAAATACTAACTGTTATTGTTCTTCCAAAATTCTCCTTCACAAAAAATATATATGTAAATATTTTTCAGAACATTTCTAATAAGAATGTCATATTCAATATACTGTCTTCCATCCTCAGTTAAAGTCTCATATATATTCATTTAATGATGATTTAACTTCATATATAAAATGACAAATGGTTTATCACATTGGTGGTGAATGTAAACTGCTACATACTACATGATAGGCCTTTAAAATTGGGAACGTGTTTAATTACGTTAGTTTATTTGTTTTGCCTGAACAGATATTCACTCATCTAGAGGTATGTGTGGATTATTGAACACTTTGTAGTTTCATAAGTAAAGGCTTTATGACACAACTGAAAGATATTACCTGCAGTTAGTTGAAAATGCAATGATGCAGTTGTATTTAAGATTATGTAGAGTATGAAAAAATTCTCAAGCTGAACAAAATTGAAGACATTATTACACCATTCCTGAAACTTATCTTTATAGCCTGCCCTAATATGAAATATGATTACCACAGACATAAAATATAGGTATGTTTCTTGAGAAACAATATGTATAGACATTTCAATGAAAGTTAACATTTTACACGCACACTTCTTAAACGGAGGTTTAACCTACATCAAATGAGCAAACCAATTTAATGTTCTCTTCCCTCATTGTTTAGAGCAGATAATTTATGTGAGTAAGTAACATACACCACTTCAGAATATAAGATACGAGGTATTTTAAAAAGTGAAAACAACACTGTAAAACTAGTTTCTAACATGAAAAGGGTTTAAATGATTACACCATTACATTCAATAAACTTACTGAAGCATCCCATTCTTATTGTTCGTAAAAATGGAAATATGCCTTTACTTTTACAATTTAGAATACTTGCTTCACAGTATAACAACAGTAATAATCATTAACAATCAACAGCCATAGTTGTGAAAGTAATAATGATAATGATTATGATTTATAATACCCCAAGTACCAAGTTGCTGCATCTTAAAACACTTCCTAAACTAAAAAAATGAACCAGTTAAATAACTAAAATCAGAAATTACATAATTCAGTTTAGTTCAATTACATTCTTCATTACATTCTTACATTCTTAAACTATTAATTTATACCAAGAAATCAACTATGAAGAGTATATGATAAAAACATTCTGCATTTTCTGGTTCTATTTACTCCCTCTTCTATATTATCACATGCAAATGATGCCATTTTACATTCCTGCTAGCACATGAGAGATAATCTGATACTTTTTCAGGTGCCTCTAATATGCTCAACACTTTCTACATTTTTATTCTTTGATATAGGAGTGAAATTTTACAATCACTATAAAACAATTATCACACTC